TAGGTTCGAAATATATCCTATTTGGATGGAGAAGGAGAGCCGCTAAGTGACGGAGACAAGTAGACCTGCAACAAGTAACAAATGATACAGATAAAAATTAAAGGAGAAATGCGGCCAAATCTCATATCTGACGAGACTCAAATATTATCTTTGATCTCTTGCGGGAAAATGCCACTAGGCCAAAAACCCTAATGGCGTGTTTGGTTGGAGGATTTGGAGAGGGATTTGGAAAGAGAAATGGAAAAATGTAGATGAAATGTGAATAAAACATACTTATATTTCACATAGTTTCACATACCTTTTCTCTTTAATTTTTTCATTTCCCTTTCTAAATCCCTCCCTAAATCCCCAACCAAACACAATATTAATGATTAAACAATTTTGCTTCCAACCATGACGAGTGATTAAGAATTTTAATAGCTTTAGTTTAAACCATTGACTTTCCATGAATTTACAATTATTTTGCTCCAACACAATGGCCCTGTTTGGTAGAGCGGTAGGAAAGTGCTTATAACTTATGCCTAAACAGCTTATAGCTTATAACTATGAACATAAGTTGATTTCTGACTTATAAATTAAACATCTCCTGCCCCACTCAAAGAATAAGCTGATTTTTGACTTCCAAAAAGCTATATGCTATAAGCTATAAGCTAAACCAAACACATCAAAATAGCTTAAATTAAGCTGAAAGCTGAAATAAGCAGCTTTTAAGCTGCACCAAACAGGCACGACACGCAACTTACCACAAATTGCTTCTCTCTTTATTAGACCATTCTTCTCTCTTTCACACACAATTTTACTATTTAAAACAAATCTCTCTTTTTTTTTTCTTTCAAAACCATACTAGAAAAACAAAATTGAAACATCATAATTATAGCAAGATCCTTCAATTTAGGCATGATCAATACAAATGTAAATGTGCATGGTTTGATTGGTTCGGTTTAGAGACAAACTTATAATCGATCCAATTTTGATTAGTTATTAAATTTTAGATTCAGAACTAAAATCAACTGGGGTTGGCTTGGGTTGAACATCACAAAAATCAAAAAAAAAAAAAAAAAGGAAAAAAAGAAATGAAATAAATTTTATTGTTTATCAAAAAAAATCCCCAAATGATTGAGTTATATGGGAATAAGTTAGGGGAATAATTGGTTTGATTTGGGCAAATCAAACTTAACTTTCGTGTCAAATTTTAATATTCTAAGATTGGACTAAAAATTTTCCACCTAGCACTTGTCATGAATTGCAATATGTGCCTTTTTCGGAATTCATAAATGGTTCAAGATTTGTTAAATCTTTGACTATTTCTCACTTTCTATTCTTTGACTCCATTAATTCTCTCGTGGGGACCTTTCTGTTTAAAATGGGATTATTATTCAGTAATTTTGAAATGTTGTGTAATATTATTTATGTAGTGTTCTCAATTAGTGATATATTAAAAAAAAATTATGATTGAAACAAAAAAATACTTTTGTTAATTAGTTGAAAGGCAGGGATCAACCACATAATGTGTGTTGTGGTTTTTCATTTGTTGGGAATAATATGTACCTAATAATTTTTTTAAATGGGAATTTAAATACGAATAAACTAGATGTGATTATACATAATATAAGGATCTCTTAGTTAATATGGATCTTGTGTCTCAAATAAAAATAATAATAATAATAATAATAATAATAATAATGGTGCCTTGGGGACACAAGAGATCCGCAAAAAAAAAAAAAAAAAAAAACTATTGCATTGAACAATCAAAAAAGAGATTAAAATTTTTTAAGGGATCCTTCTATAGACAACATTTTCTTAAAAATTAGGTTTTAGAATTTGTTTCTATTTTTTTTAATAAAAAACACACACACACACACACACACACACACACAACTTAGTTTGACAAAAATAAATACCAAAAAATTTATTGTTGAATTTGTTAAAAATATTTTTGTCCCAAACAAAGATAAAATCATATGAAAATAATAGTATGTTTTTTCATTTCTTCCACCCAACTAGTTTTTGAAAAAAATTAAAAGTAAATTTTGAAAACTAAACCAAACATAATGGTAGTTTAGTAGGCCTCATTTTGAGTCCAAAACTCAGTAAATGGTTCAAAGTAAATTTTTTTTTGGCACAATATAATTCTTAGCTAGGGCAAACAAAATTGTAATTATAGGTTTTTTTTAATATTCAATTAAATATTTACTAACTTTTTGTGATTTGTGTGTGTAAAATTCATTTTTCTATTATTCAAAAGAAAATTTTAGAAGTTTTATGTACAACATTACTATTGAGGCCTTTTGTCTATAAAAAATGTATTTTTAACGGGGCCTTTGGAGATTTTTTTCCTCAACACTAATAGAGAAAAATGATTATGGAACTAAAGAGTGAAATATGAAACCTCAACTTACAAAGACTTTTTGGTACTAGTTGAGGTTACTAGGTTAGTGAGCATTGAATATATTCATGATGGTTAAGTTCATAGAGTAACCTACTTTAAATAATAATAATAATAATTGAATGTAAAATTTGGCTTGCAAAGTCAAACATGCACAATAATTATGTGGTAGCATTAGTACACTACAAAAATTTTAATTTTTTGTGACGGCAAAATGTGACGATACATCTACTGTCGTCTCAAAAAAATTTTAGTGACGGCAAATGACTTTTAGCGATGGTAAAAGGGGGGTCACAACAGAGGTTGTTGCAAAAAAGTTTTAGCAATGGCATGCTGCCTCCGTTTTTTTTTTGCGACGACAAATGTTGGCTTTCGCGATGGCGTTTTACTATCGCCTATAATATGTAAAAAATGAGACCTTTTGTGATGGCAATACTTCTACCGTCGCTAAAAATTTTATTTAAGACGACAAAAGAAGTTATCACGATTTTTTTTTTTTTTTTTAGACGGCATTACCTCTATCGCCAAAAACTATTTTGCGACGGCATTGCCTATGTCGCCAAAAAGTTTACATTTTAGGTCTAATGTTTTAGCGACGGTATAGTGTTGTCGCAAAAAAAAATGCAATAAAATTATTAAAAATATTAAAACTACATGTATTAAATGAAAAAAAATTAAAAAAGAAACCAATAATTGTATAATAATATAAAAATTTCTGTACAGAAATAACAATTTCTCTATAATAAAAATATTCTTGCATTCATAACTTAACATCAGCAAATTACCCCACTACATAATGTTGCATAATACATATATAATGTTTAAGTACATAATGTTGTTCAGAATTCAAAATAACATAAACCAAAAATAAAAGTTTTCCTCATCATTCTTTGTGGGTAACAAAAACAAAAGTTAGTCACATTCTTCACGGGCATGCATTCCACAAGAAACAAACTCCTACTCGGGTAATATTTGAAAACTAAAAACAAAAATAATTAATGACAAAATAATTATGTGTTAATATGTTAATTACAAAAAACATACAAATTTAATAACTATATAATTACAAATATAATTAAGTAAACAAATTTGCCCAAACCGAAATCTGACTCTAACTCCCAAACTGGGAACCCGATTCGAGTCCCATCTTCTCCCGCAAGTTTTTCGTGCCTAGGTGATCGTGTGTGCCAAGTTTCGTGCTAATCCGACGTTATTTGGTGATTTTGGGACATCAACACCTCGAATTCAAAGTTTCTTAAAGAACTAGATTACCGAAACCGAAATCTGACTCTAACTCCCAAATTGGGAAGCCGATTCGAGTCCCGTCTTCTCCCACAAGTCTCTCGTGCCTAGGTGGTCGTGTGTACCAAGTTTCGTGCTAATCCGACGCCGTTTGATGATTTTGGGGCGTCAACACCTCGAATTCTAAATTTCTTAAGGAACTAGTTTGCCGAGACCAAAATCCGGCTCTAACTCCCAAATCGGGAATCCGATTCGAGTCCCGTCTTCTCCCACAAGTCTCTCGTGCCTAAGCGGTCGTGTGTGCCAAGTTTTGTGCTAATCCGACGCCGTATGGTGATTTTGGGACATCAACACCTCAAATTTTAAGTTTCTTAAGAAACTAGTTTGCCGAGATCGAAATTCGACTCTAACTTCCAAATCGGGAACCTGATTCGAGTCCTGTCTTCTCCCACAAGTCTCTCGTGCCTAAGCAGTCGTTAATGCTAAGTTTCATGCTAATTTGACGCCGTTTGGTGATTTTAGGGTGTCAATACCTCGAATTTTAAGTTTCTTAAGGAATTAATTTGCCAAGACCGAAATTCGACTCTAACTCCTAAATTGGAAATCCGATTTGAGTCCCATATTCTCCCACAAGTCTCTCGTGCCTAGGCAGTTGTGTGTGCCAAGTTTCGTGCTAATCCGATGTCGTTTGGTGATTTTGGGGCGTCAACACCTCGAATTCTAAGTTTCTTAAAGAACTAGTTTGTCAAGACCGAAATTCGACTCCAACTCCTAAATCGGGAACCCGATTTGAGTCCTATCTTCTCCCACAAGTCTCTTGTACCTAGGCAGTCGTGTGTGCTAAGTTTCGTGCTCATCCGGCACCATTTGGTGATTTTGGGGCGTCAACACCTCGAATTCTAAGTTTCTTAAGGAACTATTTCGCCGATACCGAAATTCGGCTCTAACTTCCAAACTAGAAATCCGATTTGAGTCCCGTCTTCTCCCACAAGTCTCTCGTGCCTAGACGGTCTTGTGTGTCAAGTTTCATGCTAATCCGATGCTGTTTGGTGATTTTAGGGCGTCAACACCTCGAATTCTAAGTTTATTAAGGAGCTAGTTTGCTGAGACCGAAATCCGACTCTGACTCCCAAACCGAGAATCCCATTCGAGTCTTGTCTTCTCCCACAAGTCTCTCGTACCTAGGTGGTCGTGTATGCCAAGTTTCATGCTAATTCGACGTCGTTTGGTGATTTTGGGGCGTCAAAACATTGAATTCTATGTTTCTTAAGGAGCTAGTTTGCCGAGATCGGAATCCGGCTCTAACTCCCAAACCGGAAACCCGATTCGAGTCCCGTCTTTTTAACTTCCAAATTAAATTATATGGTTCGGTAATTCGAAATCAACTTCTGAATGAAACGTTATGATTCGAAAGTAGATGTTCAAACCATGTAATTTTGTTCGGACACCAAATTCTAAATGAAAATGGGTGTGTGAACTGAGAGAAAGTTGTGGGTGGAAATTGAAGCTCCCATAATTAGACAGGAAAAAACAATGGTTGCATGTATATAACAAAAGTAGACAATTGAAAGTGTGTAAGATGACATGGATTTATGTAAAGAAATCACACTACCGTAGAGGAACAAGAACATTACAGTTTTCCTGACTAGGTGGTACCAGGGGAGATAATTTCTTTTCGAACTTCTGGGTTGGTAGATTATCTATTTCCTTGAAATCAAATGAGTGTACATCCTTAGAAGAGGTATTTGACCTAACTCTTTTTGAAGCAACTGGATTTCCTCCTGCAGCCATACACGGAATAGCATGTTAGAGCAGCAAATGGAGAATATAGTTAGAAGCAATATTGGCACAGGAAACTGCAGAGAATTTATTGGGTATCAAATACGATCCCTACTTGAGCAAAAACCTAAAAATAACATATTTAACCATGTTTTATGCCTAGGCAAGCACATCAAACGAATATAAGCCGACTGCCAACTTACCTTTAAAATAACACAGGAATCAGTCTAGTTCCAACTTTCACAATAGCCCAGCATGAACCAAGATGCTTAAATTTGGCATGAACTGAATTTGGACTATTGGACCAATGGACCTTCATGTTGGACAACAAGGCAATTATTACCTTTTAACCTACCAGGTCAGCTTCCAATCTGATATTAGTTGATCAAGTTAACAAACAAAAAGATCAAGTATGTCTCTGATTTTTCACAAATTAAAGATAATGCTAAACAAACATAAATTTCTCATAAATTTTTCTATAACCTTATATCAACCTCTTTTCCATTAGAAGATTTTCTGTGCTTCTAAGGCAATGGCGGATCCAATGTGGTCATGTGAAAGCATGGCCTCAAGGACGTACAATAATTTCTCTATGTCGTACTTCAAATATTGAAGTATGCAGGTGGGGACAAGACTATTTTAATCGAACCAAAAAAATAATAATAATAATTTCCATATACTATTGCAGCCATTCATCATATAGTACTTAGGCTCTATAGGCAAAAAATAAGAGCATATTCAGAAAATATACCTCATTTCAAAATCTAAATTTTCATTAGTGAGGAATATATGATAATTGAATCTTCAAATAATAATCGAATCTTCAAAAAGGGGGGAAAATAGTAGTTAGTAGAAGAATATATCAACCACCATAACCTGCCATGAAAAGAATTGCAAAGTATTTAATTAAGTCAGATTTCGACTAGAACTTTGCATCATCATCCATTTGTTCACATAAAAAACCAGACATCACACCAAACTTCAAGGCTGGTTTTAATAATGTCTCCCTAAAAAGAACAGTAATTAGGTCAATGACTATAGGGAAGTGCTCAAAATGTATTGTCTTAGAAGCAAAGGTGTCATGTGTCCAAACGATTGACACATGTACCATCGGCCCTAACCAAAGTTTCAATTCCATGGAATGAAAGGCCCTGCCAATGAGCAGGCAAACATGTCGCTTGCTACACAAAAAATACTTCTATTTGAGGAAGTTTGGTCATAGATAACCTCATTAATACAGCCCACATTCGATACAAAACTACAGGTTTGGTCATAGATAACCTTACTATTACTGTAAGAATAAGAAAGTAATTGCAATTTCATGAAAATCATTTTGAGTCGAGTCTTTACTATGTTTTAGTGCAAGTGTTACTAACTAAGTTACACAAGACTAACAAAAAAATTCATTTAAAATCACGAGTATTTTGCCTAACCATTTCTTTTTCAATTCCCCCATGAAAGATAGAGAGATTTCAATAATATGTTTTGTAAAGAATTTTTGCACCCCTCATCATTAACTTGAATTGAATCAAAATTATGTGAAACATATTAGATTCTCACCTCTTGTAGCCATTACACCGTCTTCATTGACTGCCATTGCATTGATGATGGTTTTCTGCCGAGAGCTGCATGAACAAAGGCTGAGTACTGAAATCAATGGACATGATAAATTGAAGTTCAAAGAGAGAGAGAGAAGCACACAGTATACTCAATGCTTAAACTTCCTATTGAAATTGAAGTGTATGGGATGATTGGTATAAGCGGAAAAAAGATCATTCAATGGGGGTGAAGGAGCTTTATTAGTTGGAAGAATAGATTTTTGAATCTCTTCATAGAGTTGGAGCAATTTCCCCATTTCCAAAATCTAATAATGAAGAGAATAAAAACGACAGAAAGAAAGAAAGGGAAAAAAAAGATAATAATGCCAAAATATTCATGGGAAAGAGCAAACTATGTATCTTGCAGTAGGATTGGAATGATGTCTATGTATAAATATTTTTAAAAAATAAAATAAAAGATACTCACAGTATGTTGTGCATAAATTCTCCTTTTGGAAGGTTGAATTTTTTTATGTTGTCAGCTGACGCAGATGCAAAACAATTCCTAAAGCATAAAAGCAAGAAATTAAGTTTAAGGTCAAACTAGAAAACATAATTATTGAAGCATTTTACATCAACCATAACTTGAGGGCCTTACAAAGGAACAAATTATATTTATAGATACATACTCTTTAGGATGTAAAGCCATTACTCGCACAAATTTCTTATGGTGTGTAAGGGTTGTCATCGTTTTACCTGCCACACAAAAATCAATTGCTATCATTAGAAACTTAAAGGAGAAAAAAAACACACAAACAAAAGCACAAAAATCAAAAACCAAAATATTGATTACCAAATCTAAGATCCCGGAATTTTATGATTGTGTCAGGAGAACCAATTACAACTTGTGGATCTGTAGACACCCCATTTTTGACGGCCCTTCAAGACTTGGATATTTTTGTAGGTACATCTGATGACGAGTCTAATTGCTTGCCGAGCGCTCAAAGTCCTCAATGGAACGCCACAGGTTTGAGCTTTCCAAACCCTGCATCTTTTTTGTCTCCTTCTTGGACCATGTCTTGGCCTCTCTCCCCTGCAGTCTTTGTTGGCCTACCGGCCATCTATGAGGGCTGTTGGCGAGGTCTTTTGGCCTGCCGGCCATTGATGTGCCTTGCTGGCCATCACTGATGGTCGGCCGGCCACTAGTGTTTTTTGTAGATATTTTGTACCAGCTGTGCCAGCTAGTTGCATAGAGGCTTGTATTTGCCCACACGTGGAGGGCTAGATCTCTTGGTATGGAATTCATATTTTCTATATATTGGGGGGTTCTTCCCCCATTTTTGGGGGTTAGAAATTTTGGAACAAAAAAATCTCTCTCTCTAGATTTCTCTCTCTCTTGCAATTTTGTGCCTGGTTACTTGTTTTCTCTACACTTTTACATACACTACCTTAATCAAAGTTGCTTCTCTTTGAGCTGAGGTTATTTGAGACCCTCTTTGAGCTCTAGCAAGTGGTTTTTGCTTGGTTTGGTGCCTAAACTTGAGCTTTGCTTCAAAGGTATAACACTTGCCTTGTTCGCTTTGTTTTAATATACTTGTTTTTCCATCTTTTCTTACTATTTTGGGGCTGGTTTTAAACTAAAAAAAAGTTTTGTTTTTGTGGCTTAAAAGTGGTGGTTTGAGCCCTTTTTTAGTTAGGGAGTGGTTCACTCTTCTTGCTTCTTAGTTTGTAAATTTTTTGTGCCTTTGTTCATCACTTTCAAACCAACTTTTTTGGGCCTTTTAACCACTAAATTTTAGAGGTTTTTTAGTAGTAAAAAACTCATTTCGAAGTCTAAAATTGAAAGGGTTATCCTCCCCTCCTTGTGTCTTGTTTGCATGCCTAGTTAGCCCCATGTATTAGCTTAATGTTTTAGCTTTTTGTGGCTCAAGTCTAGCATGTATTAAGCTCTGTTTTGAACTGTTTTGCCTTTATTTTTAGCTGTTTGTTTCATTTAAGCCTTGTATGGCATAGTTGTAGTGTAAATTCCTTCACTAACTTAATGTTTTATGGCTTTAACCACCATTGGTTTGAGTTGGTTGCATGTTTTAGTGCTTTTATCACTCATTTTAAGCACTTAATCATCTCTGTAACATCCCTCATTTCTTGGTTTTATTTTTACTTTGAAAATGGTTCAAACCATTTGCTTGTTTAAAGCATGAAATTGAGGTTTTGTGCTTAATGGTTTAATCCCTTTTGGGGTTCATTATCAATGGCATGAGGTCTCTTTCATGCCTAAAAAAACCTTTGGTTTAAGCCTTCTTTCCATTAGAGGACACTCACCAAAGGATTTAATTGATTAAATGATGACTTGGTAATTAAAATGAGTAAACAAAATTGGTAAGTAAAAGAGGCAAGATAAGCATCTTTTTGTGTTGCATTGCATGTGTTCAAATCGGACATTAATTTGAACCAAAGAAAAATGGGACATTTCATACTCAAAAGTGATGAAATGTGCCACTTGCCTTAGTCTCTATTGCCCTTGATCATGCATGATAGGGTGATGAATATTTTGGTCTTGTTTGTGTATTTATTAAACTTGCACAATTAGTTTCACAAGCCATCATGCAATGAAATTGCTTGATTGATCGTTTGCGAACCAAATTTTGTCCCTCCTTTGATTTCCCCATGAAAGGAAAGGCAAAGCGTGCAAACAATCCTTGGAAAAACCCCATTTTTTGCTCTGTTTGTGCTCTGTTGCAACATGGTGATCCAATGCATCAGTGGCCGGTAATGCACCATCAGTGGCTGGCAGTGCACCATCAGTGGTCGACAAACCCCCTTTTTTGGCAGGCAGAGGGCCGACAGCAGCCATCCATGGCCGGCAGGTCACTGATGTGAACCTTAGTTGATTTTGGTAAGATGGAGCAAAAAGGTTCTGGAAATTCTCAACCCTGCAAATAGAGGCTTTCGAGAGCAAAACAGAGGTCTTTTCGGGCCAAAACCGAGCATGTGCATCTTTCATTTCCCGAGGCGGAGTAGTGGCAGCATAGTTTAATGTCTTAAATGATTAGTTCGTGTGCATTTGTGTTGTAAATTAATTAATTAGTTTGCTAATTAGTTAAAGTGTTGTAATATTTAGTAATTAGCTTGGCTAGTTATTCATTTGGCCTGTAATAATTAGTCTAATTAGCTTAATTAGATTAGCATAGCTAGTTAGCTTTTATTCATTCGGACCCTCTTTCACGAGGGCGTAATGTTGTAATAAGTGTGCGTGCATGTGTGTATGTCTTCCAAGCCCATGACTTTCTCCCTTTTATTTACCCACTTTTGATGGTTAGATTAGGGACATATTTCAATTAGCATATCGCAAGCTTGCATCCATTCATTCGTATTGCATGCACCGAGGCTCGGCGCATCATTCAAACTACATTTCCATTTCAAATATCTTATTTGAATACGTGTTTAATCGCATGTTGTTCAAATCGATCCATATGTCATATTCGTAGCCGAGTCTATTAATTGCATATTGCATGTGTTGCATTAGGCATCTTAACATAGTTAGGAATCATGCATATTTCACTAACTCATATTTTCCTAGCTTGGAGTACTAGGTGAGTTTTTATGCTTTAGCATACTTGCATAAATGTGAATGTTGCCATGATTAGCATGCTTGCCATGAAGCTATATGCTTACTTGCTAAACTGCTTGAATGCATGTGGAAGAAGGCTTGTTGTTTGAATTGGAACGATTCAGCGAATGAGCGTTTTAAGCCTACTTTGTTGAGTGGCAAATCATGTTTTAAACCCACTATGGTTGGTGGGAAATTCAAACCATTTTCGCAAACAAACATGAGTTAAAATTGTTCCAAATTGAGCGAATTAGTTTATACTTGCTTGTGCGCATCACATAGTAATGCTAGTTTAAATAATCGGAACAAGAGCACATAATGTTTATAAAATATCACATCATGATTAGTAGAGGCCGATCTTCGATCGAGCGAGCAGGGGTGCTCGATTCACGACCTTCCCTTCTCGTACCTAAGTTCCTGAGCTGAGGCAACTTTGGTGATGACGGACACGTGGCCTTTGGCACGAGTCATGGGTTTCCTAAATTTCTCCAAAAATAAAATATTTAGGTGGCGACTTTATATCTGACAAAGCAATCCAATTGTGGCATTTTTTGATTCAAAATCAATTTTCCAAAACGATTTGCCGAGGACTCTTTAGTGTTTATCAATTTCACATTGCACTTATGAGATTAGATTCAGAGCCACGGAAGTCTGAACTGTAGGGCTTTCTTTTTAAGCTTCCGAAAGGGGGTGCGAAAAAGCCGGGCTACAGGATCCTGGAACAAACATTTCACAATGAGGTTTGATCACAAGAAAAAGATTTCCTTTCTATAAATAGATGTTATAATGCATAAACTACACAGCATAACCTTTTTCTACTTTGTCATACCAGAGAGCTCAAATCCTTGTTGGAGACCAAGCCTCTATCTCTATATTTTCAACATTGAGAAGAAAGGGCCTAGTCTCTCTCCACTTTCATGTTGATCACCAACAGAAGTATATTTTTGTGCTGTGTCCTTTAGAATAAATTATCAAATCACCCTATGCTTCTGGCATCTATGACATGACTAAAAAGTATAATATATCTAATAGATGAAGAAAAATATTCTAATGTTGCAGCCACTCAGAAATTTTATACAGTTTCTCTCCCATAAGATTCTATCACAATTTTATTTAGTCTAAAGGTACAAAATACTTTTTAAGAAGCACATGCAATTTTATTTCAAAAGGAACTAATACGTTTAGAATAGCACAACATAGCTGCTAACAATACCATTTGGGCGAAAGGCAATTGATCATACTCATGTAGCCTGGAACACAAAAAAATGAAACAAGAAAATTGTGAGGAAAAAAAATTCCATCACCGACCACTAGCAGTGAACTCAACAACTGGTCCCTACAATTTCTAGTTGAAGAAAAGGAAAAATCAATGCTTTATAAGACTTTAGTAAGTAACTAAAAAAATATAAACTTTCACAGATATTCAATTATAAATTATCAATGAGTTTAGGGTCACGCAAGCCCAATACCTCATCCGGTCTGGTCGATCCAATCAGTTCCAAGGTCTCTAAACCCCAAAACTTCACTGTCCTGTCTGCTGCCGCTGAACCTAGAAAATAACTCACCCATGACTATAACTTACCAGGGAAAGAAAGTGAAAACAAGAAGCCAATTTAGAGAACAAATGAGGTAGGAAATCTTATATAACCCACTTCAATTCAATTCAATTCAATTCAATTCAATAAAAAAGAGCAATCTCGATGTAGAGAAGAATATTGTTGTAACGAATGGTGTTAATTGAAAGTATATATGAAAGACAAGGGGTTTTGTATGTGGTTACAAATGTACATAAACAATTTCAATAATATTGACAAATCCACAAAAGAAAATTAAAAAAATAAAAATAAATAATGGAATGAAATGGAACAAAGAGAAAGAGAATGGTGTATAAGTCTGAATGAAGTATGTGTTTGGTGACTGAGAAAATATGTGATTCGAATGGAAAAGGAAACTGATAAAGGATGTGAAATTGGGAAAATGCAAAGAATTGGAAGGAAAATGTAAAATGAGAGGACGATTGATGCAATGGAAAGGAATGTGTGTGTGTGTGAGAGAGAGAGAGAGAGAGAGAGAGAGCATACAGGCGTCGTCACTCGCTAAGTGAGTGAGAGAGGCACGATTGAGACTGACTGCTGCTAGCCATCGTCATCGTGGTTGCTCGTTGCTCGCCGTCGTCGCTGCTCGTTGCTCGGAACAAAATTCCGCCATCGTTGTAGTCAATATGTCTCAAAGGTAGCAAAAATCCACTGTCGTCACTCACTTGGAATTTTTGCTTCAAAGGTTTTAGGGATTTTGGAGAAAACGAGCTCGAATAGGGATTTTGGGGAAAATGAGCTCGAATGGGCTAAAGGAGCGGGATATAGAAAATTTTCATTACTTTTTGCGACAGCATATTTCAACTGTTACAAATAATAAATCTAACAAATAAAACGATGTCGTTTTAATAAGAGTTTTTTTGTGATACACAATTGCAGTCCTCTGTTTGCGACAATAAATTTTTCTCGTCTCAAAAAGGTTTGTTTTGCGACGGGACGCAAGGCGCTGCAAATACTTTCGAATTTAAACACACCTTTTCTCATATGTTTATTCGCGACGGGTCACTACCGTCACAAAAGGTATTTATTGGTGACGGTTAAAAATGATATCACAAAAGACCATTTTCTGTGCCGGGATAATTGCCGTCACAAAAAGTTTCGTGTTATTTAACCACTTCTCTGTTAGTGGTAAGTGATTCTGGTTATTATGTTTGTAAATAATATTGTCATATTATATTACATTTATTATTTTATTTGTCAATACATTACCAGCGTACTTGGTCTCACTCTCACACTAATATATTTTCAATGTACAATATTGACAATTAGACTGAGATAAAATAAGTTAATAAAAATAGATAATCATTATATTATTATTGATTTGAAAAAAAAAATCGTATTTAAAAAGATTATTTTTATTTAATCAAAGTCAATTTTTTTTATTTATTATGAAATTTGGTTTTAGTTTATTTTTATACTGTCATACCAAATATTATTTTTTTTTTTTGAATATTTTGTCAAAACAAATGGATCATAAACTCATTATGGCTCAACTTCAATACTCATCAAGTACAATCTAATCAATACTCGATAGCCTTCAATTATTTTTTCATATAAATACGATGCTTTACACACTTTTTTTATTTATTTCTACCATTTTTATGTTTAAAATGAGTGTACAATTCACACCATCTACATTCAAACATCAACAATATGAAGTTAATGGGGGACACTGATTAAAACAAGGTTCACAATCAATTTTGTGTCTCAAACTCACAATCTTTGTATTCAAATTTACTTAGGTGTCGTTTGATAACACTTACGTTTTCAATTTTTTGTTTATATTTATACAAATTTAAAAAACTCAAATAAAAACTTGTTTGATAAAATTTTTGATTTATAAATCAGTAGTCTCAGTTTATAAATTTGGCCAAAAAATGAAAACACAAAAAAAGTGTTTCCATTTTGAGTTTTCAGTTTTTTTTTTTATCACCCAACATTAGCCACCACCCGCTACCATTTTCCACCACCGTCTTCCGGCACCACCACCCACCACCCACCCCCCCAACACCTTCCACCACCACTCACCCACCCACCCCTCGCTACCACCACTACCACCACCCACCTATCATCTACCCGTCACCACCCACCACCTGCCACTACCATTCACCGGCCGCAACCACCACCTGCCACTTACTTGCCACCACCACTCACCACCCACCTACCACCACCAGCCACCCACCTGCCACCACCACCCACCACTCACTACCACCACCACCACCACCACCACCCACTCGTTACCACCCGCCACCGTCACCCACCCACTTACCACCACCACCCACCTGCCACCACCTGCTACCCACCACCCACCGTCACCACTTTCCACCACCGTCTTCACCTGCCACTTGCCACCAGTTGCCATTTCTCACTCTTTTTTGTATTTTTAAATTTTTTTAAAAATTTTGTCAATTACCAAACGCGTTTGTAGTTTATGTTTTTCTAAAAACAAACAAAAAATAAACAAAAATCAGTTTATAAAATTTTTGTAAATATAAACTGAAAACGTAAATGTTACCAAACACACCCTTAGCAATCATGAGATTATGTAAGAATTTTAAAATATAAAAATCTCAAAATATAATCAAACAATTAATAATCTGAAAAATCTAGTTTTATCCAAAATCTTTTTGAAAATCTAGATTTGTCCTGTGATTATTGATTTAAGTAATCCAATTAAAAATTAATGCAACCATGATCAATGTAGAAAAGAGAGAGTAAAAGAGAAAATCAAACCACGACACAAAATATTTTTTATGTGAAAAAAATCACAATTGGAATCCACCAACTTGTGATAAAAAAAACCATAGGCCCTCAGTCAATCGAACAATCCACTATAAAAGAATATAGTACAGGAGATATTTTACAAAGGCCACTCTAAGCATACGTGTTTGTTCAACCTACAAGTTACACTTCTTCCTCTACTGGATCTCCGCAACAGATGTGGAATCACCACAACGCCAATGATTCCAGAATCCACCAAAATCCACAATCTTGGAATCCACCAAGAAGGTTGTTGAATCACCACAACGCCTATGACTTCAGAATCCACAGAAAAAGTTCACAGTTGAAAGGTGTGAATGACTTGTTACAGCTTGATGATGAACTTGAAGCACTGATGAGCTAACTAATCATCAAGCAAATATAAGAGTAATACAATTGAAACCTTACTACAACATTTACTCTCAAAAACAAAATCTCTCTACAAAAATGATCTCACTTACAAATGATCCACACTCATAAAAATAACCTTTCGCAAGATAGAAAATATTCAGAAAAGCTTAGGAGAGAGTACTTAGAAAAAAGAGTGCAAGACATACCCAAACATAACAGTCGAGCATGCCTTAAATAGGCTTGGGCCAATAACCATCGCAGCCGCAGACCAGATGGTTGCGGGTGCAACCACTCTTCGCGGGATGCAGACGAGAACTTCTAGGAGCTGATTTGGTCACAGCCTAGACGTGACCTGGTCGCGGGTGCAATGTGGCATACCAACCCAGCAGTCCATCAGCTTTTTAAGACTTTGTCGCTCCATTTTTTGCATGTTTTCTTCCTTACTTTCGGCCATGATTTGTCTACCATTTCTCTCAACACAAACCCATCTTTTAGGTTGGAAAAATCCATACTCGTTCACACAAGGTTGTCCATAAATCATTTTGCAAAGATTCTGACTTTTGACTAACGAAAATTCCATACTGTTTTACACAAGGTTGTCCATAAATCATTTTGCAAAGATTCTGATTTTTGACAAATGAAACCAAAGACAAAACTTCAACATAGATAAAGTCACATGCCATCTTTGAGCCACCATAACTTTTTGTCAACATGCTCATATTAACAAGATCAGGTCAACCCTAATCTTGAGCCCCCCAATCTGCAACTTTGTCATTTTATAAAACCAAGAAGATGATAACACAAGAAATAAAAAATCTAATAAAGATTATAACTTTGACAAACAAGATCAAAGAAAACTCTAGCAAATATTAGTCCATGCATGCACATGTGAGGATCTATCTTTTCACTCATGTGTTGCCACCAATCGGCTGAGACAAACAACCTTATTTAGAATCCCACGATTGCCATTTTCAACTTCTGAAGATTCATCACCACATGTTTCTTGTCCAACATGATCATCACTTTTTTACTTAAACAAAATGTTAGAACAATTGAGTCCATTTTATGTCAACAAAATCAGCAATATCTTAACAATCTTGAAGCACAATAACAAATCAAAACAACTTGAATCAATGATTTTAAGTTTTGTCAAGAAAGGTATTGTCAAAACATTAACTCCTTTAGGATAAAAATCCTAACAATCTTTCTTTTTGGCAATGTCGGGACAAAATTTCATAACCCAGTCCTGCATAAGATCCGTTGATTCAAACAACAAAAGAGACGAAAATGATTAAATTAAAAATCATGATTTTGTCTTTGGAACAGGATTGCCAACTTGCATTGTAATGCAAAAGATTAGGATTGAAAATCTTAACATTCTCCTCCTTTGGCAATTTCGTGACAAAAATATTAGTAGTATGCAAGACAATACAATCTCTCCCCCTAAGCAAATACTCCCCATAAACATATGACAAAAAAAATTCATAAAATTTTTCTCTCTCCAAATAAATTCAAGACCATTCTCCCCATTTTTGTTCGGAATTGACAAATGCGAAACATAATAAACTGAAAATAACACATTCAAGGCAATGAAGAAGGACAAACTAAACAAACACGCACTACAAAACAAGAAATGGCTCGAAAGAATCTTATGGCCATTCTCTCAATTTGAAAAACAAAATTTTATAAAGATGAGAATGTTCAACAAAGTATAAAATGACACTCACTTGAAAACCATTGGAAATCGGCAAACATAAATCTCATACAAAGACAATGTGTTGTGCGGAATGAGAGAATACCATGTTTAACAATGCCATGTAGAGATCAAAGTTTA